TACCGAACGTTAGAGATCAACCATTGATACTCAGATAGTTATGCATGTGGAATCTCTTAGCGGGTCTCTAATGTTTCGTTCTATAACAAAACATCCAAGCGTTCATTTAAGTGTCACCACACTTTAACTTGTGAGACCAGCTACTTACTTCACAAGTAAGAAATGCCATACGTGATGGTCTATCTGTAATAACGATATCCGTATCTCGTCATTACTTACAACCATGGATTGTTCAAGATCCAATCATATGTAATTTGCATCTCACAATAACAACTCCTTGTGATTAACAAATCACTTAAACTCGAATTTTCGGACTCTATTATTTAATATTATTTATCAGAATATTAATTTAAATAAATAATAGATCTTGTCAAAATTAAATGCATTAAACATAAAAGTGTTTACAACCTAAATCAATTAGGTCTAGGGCATAACACTTTCAAACTCCCACTTGAACTATATCCAATTACTCATGTATCTAATACCACAAGTGTCCACATGAAGATCATGTTTCTGTTGTGACAATGGCTTTGTCAATGGATCTGCAATATTGTCATTTGTGGGAACTTGCTCTATCTTTACGTCATTTCTTTGTATAATCTCTCTGATGAGATGATATCGCCTTAGCACATGTTTGGATCGTTGATGAGACCTCGGTTCCTTCGCTTGTGCGATGACCCCATTGTTATCACAATACAAAGGTATGGGATCAACAATGCTAGGAACGACTCCCAGTTCATTAATGAACTTCTTGATCCAGACAGCTTCCTTCGCTGCTTCAAAAGTAGCAATATACTCGACTTCTGTTGTTGAATTAGCGGTTGTCTCCTATTTAGAACTTTTCCAACTAACCGCTCCATTGTTGAGAATAAACATATATCTAGATTGAGACTTACTCTCATCATTATCAGATTGAAAGCTAGCATCAGTATACCCATGAACTTTTAGTTCATCTTCTCCATGGATCAAGAACACTTCTTTAGTCCTTCTCAAGTACTTAAAGATATTCTTAACTACTATCCAGTGTTTCTCACCAGGGTTTGCCTGAAACCTGCTTGTAACACTTAAATCATATGAAACATCTAGTCTTGTACATAGCATCACATACATGATAGATCATATCGCCGAAGCATAGAGAATCTTATCCATGCGATTTTTTTCATCGTGTGTTTTAGGACACATATCTTTTGAGAAGTAAATCCCATGTGACATAGGACACAAACCTCTCTTGGACTCTTCCATGTTAAATCTTCTTAAGATTTTGTCTATGTACGAAGATTGGGATAAGCCAAGCAATCGTTTAGATCTATCTCTATAGATCTTAACTCCCAAGATATACGCTGCTTCTCCCATATCTTTCATGGAGAAATTCTTTGACAACCATAGTTTTACCGACTGAAACATTGGGACGTCGTTTCCCATTAATAATATGTCATCGACATATAATATTAGGAATACGATCGCGCTCCCACTTATCTTCTTGTAAACACACGGTTCATCTTCATTTTTGATGAAATCAAACCTTTTGATTGTCTCATCAAAACGAAGATTTCAGCTCCTTGAGACTTGTTTTAATCCATAAATAGATCGATTAAACTTACATACCTTGTTGGCTTCTTTGGATTCATAACATTCTGGCTGTGTCATGTACACCTCCTCTTGCAAGTTTCCATTAAGGAAAGCAGTTTTGACATCCATTTGCCATATCTCATAATCGTGGTATGTAGCTATTGCAAACAAAATCCGAATGGACTTTAGCATGGCTACAGGTGAACAGGTTTCATCAAAGTCAACGTCTTGTCTTTGTGTGTAACCTTTCGCTACTAGCCTTGCTTTGTATGTATGGATGTTTCCATCTACATCGACCTTTTTCTTGTAAACCCATTTACAACCTATCGGTTTTATCCCAACTGGAAGGTCGACCAAGGTCCAAATCTTGTTCTCATACATCGAGTTCATTTCCGATTCCATGGCCTCTTGCAATCTCTCCGAGTCAACACTTGACTTCGCTTCTGCGTAATTTGTAGGTTCATCATCCTCGACTAATAATACTTGATTAGTAATCATGAATTCGTACATTCTGGGAGGTCAAATGATCCTACTTGATCTACGCTGAGCTGGAGTGTCTACAGGAGTCTCTACATCCTGATCAAGAGTTTGTCCGTCAACAAGTGTGGGATCAGACTCAGGTTCATGTAATTGGTCAACAATATCTGTGGATTCTTGAACTTCTTCAAGTTCTATCTTGCTCCCACTACCCTCTCCGAGAATAAACTCTTTCTCTAGGAATATGGCATGTCTTGAGATGAACACCTTCTTCTCAAAGGGAGTATAAAACTGATATCCAATTGTCTCTTTTGGATATCCCACAAATATGCATTTATCAGATTTAGCCTCTAACTTATCCGATTCATTTCGCTTTATATAAGCATCACAACCCAAAACTTTCATGTGAGATAAGTTTGGTTTTTTTCCTCTCTATTGCTCGTATGGAGTTTTATCAATCGATTTAGATGAGACACGATTAAGTGTGTAGCATGCAACAATTAGTGCATAATCCCAAAATGATTTTGGGATGTTTGCATGGCTCATCATTGATTGCACCATGTTTAACAATGTGCGATTCCTCCGTTCAGATACACCATTCTTTTGCAGTGTATATGACGGAGTCCACTGCGAGAGAATCCCATTCTCTTTTAGATAATCTAAAAATTCTTCCTTTAAATATTCTCACCTCAATTTGATCTCAGCGTGAGAATATTTTTACCGGTCTGTTTCTCTACTTCAAGTTTGAATTCCTTGAACTTTTCAAGTGCTTCATGCTTGAATTTTATCAGATATACATAACCATATCTAGAATGATTAAATGTGATAAAGTAAGAGAAACCACCTCTGGTGGTGATTGACATGGGTCCACATACATCAGTATGTATTAGTCCCAACAGTTTTGTAGCTCTTTCTCCTTTTCCAGTAAAAGGAAATTTGGTCATTTTACCTAACAGGCACGACTCGCATTTGTCAAATGATTCAAAATCAGTTGACCCCAAGTATCCATCTTTATGTAACTTGGAAATGCGTTTGTCGTTAATGTGACCAAATCTGCAATGCCAGAGATAGGTATTATTTAGATTATCACTTTTATGCATTTTATTTTCTATACTATAATAGATGACTCAGTATCAAGAATATAAATTTCATTTTGTAACACAACACAACCATAAAAGATCTCATCTTTATAAAACGAACAACGATTGTTCTTAACATTAAATGAAAAATCATTCATGTTCAAACACGAAATAGAAATAATGTTTTTAGTAACTGCGGGAACAAAATAGCAATTTTCTAATTCTAATACTAAGCCCGAAGGCAATGGTAAGAAGTATGTCCCTACAGCTAATGCAGCAACTCTTGCTCCATTCCCCACGCGCAGGTCAACTTTTTCTTTTTTGCAGTGGTCTACTTCTCTTTAGTTTCTGCATATTTATACAAATATGAGATCCACATCCGGTATCTAATACCCAAGAAGCTAATGAAGTAGACATATTAACCTCGATAACAAAAATACCTGAAGTAGAAGTTTCAAAAGACTTCTTTCCCTTCAAGCTAGCGAGGTAAGCCTTGAAGTTCCTCTTCCAGTGACCTTTCACTCCACAGTGATAGCATAGGTCATCAGACTTGGTATTGTCCTTGCCTGCTTTGACTGCTTTATTATTTCCCTTAGCCTTTTTGGATGTTTTCTTAAAACTTCCTTTGATTTTCCTCTTAGTGTCCTTGGAGGATTGAATAGCTAAGCACTTTCCTTTGATTTTCCTCTTAGTGTCCTTGGAGGATTGAATAGCTAAGACATGCCCAGTGTTAGCCTTGACATTGGGCTCCACAGTTTTAAGCATATTAAGCAACTCAGGGAGTGTGTATTCGATCTTATTCATATTGAAATTCATAATGAACTGTGAATAACTATCTGACAGAGATTGCAGAACCAAGTCAATACTTAGCTTATGATCTATGATAAAACCCAATTGAGCTAATTTCTCAATGAAACCAATCATTTTCAGCACATGAGCACTGACTGAAGATCCCTCTGCCATTTTACACCGGTATAGTTGTTTGGAGGTCTCATACCTCTCCACACGAGATTGTTCATCATACAACTTATTGAGATGAAAAATCATAGTGTAAGCATCCATACCCTCATGTTGCTTCTGCAACTCAGGTGACATAATTGCAAGCATCACACATGCTGTAGTGTTATCTTCATCACTGTATTTGTTGTAAGCAGTCACCTTTTCCTTAGTGGAATTTTCAGTAGGTACCTCTGGAAAGGGCTGCTCAAGGACATATCCAATTTTCTTATACTTGAAAACGATTCTCAAATTACGGTGCCAATCGAGAAAATTTGGTCCGGTCAGTTTGTTGGCATCCAGTATGCCTCTCAAATTCATATGATTATTCATAATTCAAAACTGTAAATGATGAAAAATATATAATCAATATGTACTATAATGCATTCGCACAAATTCAATATGGACTTTAATTAAATGTGCTCCCACTGTTTAAAATAAATTCATGACCCTCATACATAAATTATTGGAATCCACATTTGATTCCCAGGGGGCTGGGATCCCATTCGTTATATCAAGATTCTGAGTGTGCTCAACAAATCTTAATAAAACATCTGGGTAGATACTATTATCAATTGTATCCCATACAACTCCCAAATCATTAAACTGATAACTATTTGTCTTCACACATCTTATGTGTTAGCTTAACATACATCTAAAACTTATCTCCTTGAGTGTACTCAATAAAAGATAAATTTTAGTTAAATCAAACCCATCATTCATAAATATCAAATATTTCATAGTATCAAACATATCTCTAATAGACTAGCCTTGAGGGTACTCAACAAGTTGAGGTTGATTTAGGATTCTCATTTTTCACTATAATGATGGAAGGCAAATAATACTAACTTAATATTTTAACGAGGGATATATTTAATCATGATATTGGGCCGTATCGTCCAAATCATCGATCCGGTACTAGATGTAGCCTTTCCGCCGGGCAAGATGCCTAATATTTATAATGCTCTGGTAGTTAAAGGTCGAGATACTGTTAGCCAAGCAATTAAAGTGAATTGTGAGGTACAGCAATTATTAGGAAATAATCGAGTTAGAGCTGTAGCTATGAGTGCTACAAATGGTCTGATGAGAGGAATGGAAGTGATTGACACAGGAGCTCCTCTAAGTGTTCCGGTCGGTGGAGCGACTTTGGGACGAATTTTCAACGTGCTTGGAGAGCCTGTTGATAATTTAGGTCCTCTAGATATTCGTACAACATCTCCTATTCATAGATCTGTGCCTGCCTTTATACAGTTAGATACAAAATTATCTATTTTTGAAACAGGAATTAAAGTAGTAGATCTTTTAGCCCCTTATCGGCGTGGGGGGAAAATCGGACTATTTGGAGGAGCTGGAGTTGGTAAAACGATACTCATTATGGAATTGATTAACAATATTGCCAAAGCCTCATGCATCAACTATGTGAATAAATATACAAATAATACTATGGATGATTATGGATTTATTCCATCTAGTTTTCCCGAGCCAAAGGAAAGACTAGTTGGTCAATTCCTAAGGGTTACAACATTGACTCATTATCAATGCACCATCCCCATGGTTTCCTCCTTTTCTCGCTCCTTCAATTAGTCTAGCTGAAACATATATCCTATACTAGTTGGCACGCAGGTTTAAATGAAATTGAACTCGCAGACCCATAATAATAATAACAACAACGGACTCTCAAGTTTAAAATAATAAAGAACTCGCAGGCTCATAACAACAATAAAAATAATGGACTCGCAGGTTCAAAACAACTAAGGGCTCGCAGGCTCATAAAACCACAAGAATTAAATAAACCATTTAACACATCCACATGGTCGAGTCCATAATCATCCATAAATAAACATTCATCACATAAATCTTTTTTGTATATAATATCTAATATTATATGCAATGTCTCAAGAATCTAGCAATTATAGTCGTCAAAATTTATTTAAAATTTTGGATCGAAATAATTAATTAATCAACTTAATTGGCGGGCCTATTTAATTAAAATCAAATTTTAATTAAATCCCGAATTAGAGTCCGACTCTAATTCCAAAACTATCGGGCAAAGTTATTTAATTAAAATCAAATTTTATTTAAATTTCGGATTAGAGTCCAACTCTAATTCTATAAAATTTAGGGTGTGGTAATTCAATTAAAATCAAATTTTAATTAATTATTAAATTAGAGTCCTACTCTAAATTTATTTTGCATTGGGGAAGTAGTATTAATTAAAATCAAATTTTAATTAACATAATATTAGAGTCCAACTCTAATAAAATTGAATTAATATTTTAATTTAGGAAAAAAACTCCTAAATAAAATAAAATTCAATTTAGGGTCAAAATTAAATATTTAAGTTAAAATATAATTTTAACAAAAATATAAAAGTTATCAAATTTTAAATATATCATTAATTTTGTGCTTAATTAGAAACATGGGTCCAATCCAATAAAATTTCCAAAAACCATTTTGAATTCAAATTTAAAACCAATTTCAAAAATTGCAATTTGACCCAAATCAAATTTAAAACACAAGTCCTTCAATTTCGTAAATAGCATGACAAGCCCTTTATCAAAATTGCAAAAATACCCATATATCTTTAATTGTAGGCGGGGGCTCGCAATTACATTAATTGTAACAGAAGCCTTCGCCTCCACCTTCCCCAAATTGGAACCCTTAAAAAAAAATAAAAAAAATCGGCGCACCCGCCCAATAATTCCATTTTTTTTTCGTTTTTCAAAATCAATTTTTGAAGAAATAAAATTACTAAAATTGCTAGATTCAAGAACATAATGAAAAATAAATGCGTAAATCAATTCCTAACAAATACAAAGTTGGCTCTGATACCACTGTTGGGAATTTACTTAAACATACGTAGCGGAAATAAAAATAATTTCAATCCCCACTAGGATTCATCTTTGTATTTAAATAGGAACTGTGATAAAAATTATACACTTTCTTGAATTTGCAAACTCCTTTGCGTTATCTTTGTTCCAGCAACTTGGATCTGCATCCCACAGCTCTTCAGTTGTCCAATCTCCAATGAATTCCACACAAAGAATAGATTGCAACTACTAGAATTTCTCCTCTTGTACTAGCAAGAATTATGAAAACCGTATAGATTTAAAACCCTAACCATATATTTATATAAGCCCAAACGGGCTCGACGTGATCTGGTCCAATATTTAATTAATCCATATAATTAAATCCGGTCTATGAATTAATTAATTTAATTAATTAATTCGAGGCTATAAATAATCGATCCAATTAATTAATTTATCCAATGATTGTTAAATTAATTAATTGACATATTACAATCTTTCAATTCTCTTTTGTGTGCGACCCATCAGGTTCCCAATTACGATACCTAACGACGTGAAATATTATTTTGATCTAATAAAAAACTAATAAATTAATACACTCTTTTAATTTATCACCAATTCACACTCGCCGTCCCAAATTGACATCTAGCAATGTATCAAGGCAACACATGTGACGGAAAATGTCACGTGGTATGACAAAACCAAACCTGTTCGTTTGCTATGAAACAATAATCCATTCGTTAATATGTTCTGATCAATTACGAGATATGAAAGTGTGTCAATCTCGATTATCGATCATATATTTCATTCTACTATTAAGTCAATATGAGTCGAAAACTCCTTTTGACTTATGAGTATACCTTGACTAAGGATTTCTTTATCGACTTAATTGAATGAAATGCAGATCACAATCTCTTACTATCTAAGAGTGACGAATCCTCTATCGGTCATTCACAACCTTCATATAGTTCTTGACATACTCGAGTGATGCTTATTAGCGGCCCTTGGCATAGCAACGTCCAACACCGTCAAAGCATGACTGTCCTCGTATAAGGTACTATGACGACCTCAAGTCAAAGAACCAATTCCACTACTGAACGTTAGAGATCAACCACCGACACTCAGATAGTTATCCATGTGGAATCTCTTAGCGGGTCTCCAATGTTTCGTTCTATAACAAAACATCCACGTGTTCATTTAAGTGTTACCACACTTTAGTTTGTGAGATCAACTACTTACTTCACAAGTAAGAAATGACACACGTGATCGTCTATCCATAATAACGATATTCGTATCTCGTCATTACTTACGACCATGGATTGTTCAAGATCCAATCATATGTAATTTGCATCTCACAATCACAACTCCTTGTGATTAACAAATCACTTAAACTTGAATTTTCGGACTCTATTATTTAATATTATTTATCAGAATATTAATTTAAATAAATAATAGATCTTACCAAAATTAAATGCATTAAACATATTAAAAATGTTTACAACCTAAATCGATTAGGTCTAGGGTATAACACTTACATGATTGGTAGGTAGATTCAACATTTTTTTTCTTATTCTCTTAGAGTTGATATATAGAGGTCAATTTTTAAATGTCTTGACTGTATTTTGTGAAATTTGTTGTATATTCTGATATTTATAGATATATGAATGAAGGACCCCTCACTAGAATCCTTGTACAGGTTAGTAATGAGGCTAATATGTGCTGTTCACGAAATTATTTCTTTCGATTTAAAACTACCGCAAGTGTATGGTTCGTTAACAAGTAATAAAGTGAATTAAATGAGTTCGAATATCGTCCCACAGAGATTAATTAGTTCAATTTTACCTATCGTCGCCTTAATCGAAACTAAATTACTAAAGTAAATGTGAACCTAATTAAAACCCTAATTTTGGAAAGAAACCCCTAATTATGCAATTTTTATGATTGAATTAAATTAAATATGCAAAACAATATTTTTAACACTCTAAAATGAAATCAAATGTTGAGAATGCACGTTTGTTGTAATCAATATAAATTAAACACACTAGAATCACGATTTCCCATGCAATTATCACTTTAAAACCCTAGTTTCACAATGTGACAACACGCTTCAATTGTGACGAATCAATGTTCCTAAGTCTATCCAATACTCTCTCTCGAGATGTATCGAACATATTTCTACTTATCACCAGCCTATATTTTTATGACAAGTGCACATATAAAAATGCATGCTGTTTTATGAACATTTAAAGATTCACGTAGGGTATAGCGATATATTTCTATCCCCTATCGAACCTACGATGATTTACATTATGTCGAACTTATTCCAATTCTCTCGAATGCAAGAATAAATCATCCAAACTCACACAATTACGGGTCCTTAATTGTGGAAACATTAATTGCATATAAATCATTCAAAACAACATAAATATGTCTTAATGTCAAATTGCAAAACTAGAAAATTAAAGATCAAATTACATGGTACATCGATCTCCTAGCACATGAAAATCTAGTCTAACATGGTTAAAATAAAAGAATACATCAGATTTTGGATAAAAGGCATCACCGGGTTGAGAAATCTTGAAGCTCTTTGTGTAAATCTTCGTTCTTGCACTCAAAATCCTCTCCAAGAAGTGTTTTTCTGCCTCCAATACGTTCTGCCTCTTTCTGGACGTCTTTTGGTATTTATATCACGTGAAAATTAGGTTATCAAAAGAGTTTCAGTCGTATAAGGAAACTGTAGAATCGGGTCCCGAATTTGTTCTATGCGACCGCATAGAGTAAAAAAATTGAGAGATATTCTCGGGAAGCCTCTATGCGACCGCATAGAGGGGTCGCATAGTGCTACCAACTATGCAAAATCTTTATTTTGGTCCTTAAACTTTCATTTTTCTTCATTTTAGTCCATTTGCAATTTCTTCTTCTTCCAATTATCTTGTATCGCTTTCGAGTTCATACTTAGCATATTTGTATTCCCGAGTTACCTTTTAGTTCAACTTTTGAATATTTGCATCCTTAGTCCCTGAACTATCACTTTGCTCATTTCTCCTGAATTCCACCATTTCCATAGAAACACCTACTTTGCATGAATTCAATGAGATTAAGTCACAATTTAAATATTTTTCTCTTAATTAAGTCATGTTTGTGATCTAAATAAATGTGCAAAAATACACTTATTAAACCCCCCAAACTTGAACTATTGTTTGTCCTCAAACAAGATAATGACTTAATTCTGAACAAACATGACTTAATACCCTGCCGTGGCTCAGGATTGGACTAAATATTTGACTTTATGAAAATTTATCAGTGCAAAAATGACATCAACCTTTTCTTGTTAAATGCATACTTGACGTGTGTGTGTGAATTCATGCCAACATATCAAATTCATGATGGGTTGAGTCTCGACTCCAAATTGTCAAATGTATCCTTACTCGCTCGAGAGATGCACAACCCCCCAAACTTATTCTTTCACTCAATTATCCCGGGGTTGTGTTTTAGAATTAGGAGTTTACATAGCTGTAGTCCTCACCCTCTCATAGTTTGAATTAATCTCACTATCACAAGTTTACATTTCAACAAGTGAAAGCTCTCCCAAGTTTGATTGCTTCGACACTCAAGCTTAAAATAGGTTACTTGTCTCGCCTCAAAGATATAGTTTCCTCAACCAAATGTCTAAGGGATTTTCCTCATGTTATTGTCTCTCTTTTGTTTTTCTCACTTTCCAATTTTTTATTTTTTATATCGTCTTCTTATTTGCTTTCTTTATAATCCATGTAACGAACTTTAGGCCGATGACTCCCAAACTAGTTGGTTTTAGGGCACCAAGTTTTAAACCCTTGCAGGCTTATTCACTTGAGTTATAAAGGCTCGATCAGATGACTTTTTATTAACCTCTTTCGCTCTTGCTTTCTATATGACCCCTTTAGTGAGCTTTAGGCTGGTGATTCCTAGCCAGTTGACCTTAGGACACCAGATTTTGAAATATCCTTACACGCTTACTTGCTCGAGTCATAAATGTATGAAAAAAAGTGTCTTATTCTCACGAATTAATTTTATGCCTTTATTGTTCTAGACATTTAGTTTCCAAAACCAACCCCCAATTTAAGATTTTCACCTAATCTTCACCTCGCTGGTCTAGGCAATCCACACAATAAAATTTCATACATGGAGCCCCCGCTTATATCAATGTCCCCTATAATAGCTCAACCAATTCCAAACTGTCTTAAGGTGATTTACGTGTTAATTCGATAGAGGGTTATCATTCTTTTCCTACTTTATGCTCAAAATCTGATCATTCACCTAACATGTCAAATGTGAATAGCGTGCATAGATAATGCAAAGTATTGCATCACAAGTATTGGTTAATCTATTAAGCACTATATCCAAAGTTTATAAATTATACCAATCCAATAATCACATCATAGCCGACAAGGATATCAAGCCTACATAAGCATGCAAAAGCATAGTCAACACTCACTCATCAAGCATGCATCATGCAACAATTACTCAATAATAACGATGGATTGTATAAATGCAAAATAATCAAATGCCGACTATTTGTTTTAAATTATGCCACCATCCCCCCAAACTTATACAATACATTGTCCTCAATGTCAAAAATAAAGTTTAAATGGCATAATTTAAAAAAAAAAAAAAAAAAGAAGAACACAAAATAGCAAAGTGAGGTAAATAAGGCTTCTCTGATCAATACGGTGGCTATGATGGGAGGCTAGGTCCTGCATCATCATCTACAGGAGGGGGAGGAAGGCGGGATGAAACCTCTCTCAATATGTCAGACTGCTGAGTCTGCTCCACCTGCATGGCCTGAACCCTAGTCTCCAAGCTTCCTAAACGGTCTCATGTCTCATTCACTCGCCACTATATACCATACATCCTGCCAACGTACATTTCCAATCTCTCATCAAAGGTACTCATCTCTCTTCTCGCTGCAAGGGACTCACTGCTGGCAATGGATGTGAAGTTTTTTGTGATTGCCATATCATTCTGCACCTGTTGGATGGTGGTACTCATTGCTCCTAATGATTGCTGAAGACTCTGCATGTCTCGACTGTGTCCTATCATAGTAGCAAACATTTGCCTCAATAACTAGGTATCAATGTCTACCAGTGGTGGAGGAACTTGTGGCATCTCGAAGTTCTCAGCTGCTTGTCCTTCCTCAGCCTGTTGCTGTCGGCGTCGCTCGTTTTCTAACTTCTATTGATGTTTAACTCTGGCTCGATCTTGGGCCTCTAGTGTGAG